GATGTACAAATGCGCTTTACACAATTGATGTGTGTATGGATTGCAATAACAGTTGTATGAGCCCCTAATAAAATGTTTAAAAAAAAAAAAAAAAGCCCGGACTCTGGCTTCAAAGGAGAAAGAGAAAGAAATCCTAAGCTAAAACTGAGGGAAGGCAAAATTACTTGAAGTTGCCATGTTGTTTATTAGACTTGCCTTTCTTCTTAATGTAATATAATTAATTCAGGAACCACCTCTTTTGAAGCAAAGGAGAACTTATAGGGTAATAATTTTGCTTCCATCTCACATACTTATTTAAATTGGTAAGGTTAAAAGTGTTGGGGAGCTAGATTTGCCTTATACCTTTATTGCTACTGAATTGTAAAATGAGCATTACTGTATTATATTCTATATTCTAAAGATGAGCAGTTGGTAAAAGCTATCTGATTACATCCCAAAGTACAGCATGTGGAGCATGTGTACGCTTAATTTTATTTTTATTTTTATTTTTATTTATTTTTATTTTATTTTATTTTTAAACCAGGTTGAAACAAAATATTTTCTGGCATGCTTTATTGTCTCAGAGGCCTTTAAAATGAATTAAGATTAGAAAACTTATAGGTCATTTTAGTTTGGTTTAAGATTTTTAAAGCAAATTTTTATAATTTGCCTTGATTAATATCTAAGCATGTGAATTCTTTAATATAAGACATAGTAAATTTTGAATTACCACTAAAACATCATAATATTCAGAAAACACTAAACTTTAGGTTTCTTCCCTAATTAAGTTACTTAAGCAATTTGAAATCTTACTGATTTTTTAGTATAGGAATAATGTAATCATTATCTACTAATTCTGATTCCTTTTCTCATAAAAAGTAATGTTCTCTGAAAAAAATTATGTCATTTCAACAGAGAGCAGGGAGCCCAAATAACATAGGTCATTTCATATGTGTATTTTTGACTGTAACATTGTACTCAAAGGACCATAAATTACAAAGAACTTTTTTAAAGTAAAGGAATGTAGAAGTCAACATCAAAGAAAGAAAATACATATACAGTAGTGTCATTTCTGAATACTTTATATTCTTCCATGACTTTTTTTTTTTTTGCTATTAGCTATGGATAAAGCAAGTTTTTTAACATCCTTAGATGTTTTTCCCCTTGGGTATTTATAGGCTTTAGTAGTAAATACTTAATATGCATTTTCCCCCGAGAATTCAAAGTGATTATTTAGATAATATCATAATTCATTATACTTTAGTAACACATAATTTAATAACTCAGTGTATATTTTTGTAATTGATATATTATGGATTTTGTCATTTATTTATTGTATTATGTTAATGTATTAATATATTAATTACTAAATTTACTTTGTATCCACATTTTACTAATTAGATAATATATAACTGGGTTCACCATAGCTGTTGAAGGAACAATGGGTAACTGATTGATGCCATGTTTTCTACATAGAAAAATTAATACCAATATTAAATTACTTCACCCAAATTGCTAATATTATTCTAAAAGATTCAGGAATATATTACTCGTAGCCTCAGTACACTTTAGGTAGATTAAAGTAGATTAAGTAGATTCAAGTATGTACAAATCACCTGCAATATACAAAGAAGCTTCCAAATGTTTTGTGGAACAATTGAAGTAAAAAATAATAGAATTTTCTCACAAACTCTATACTTTTATTTTAAAAGTTATATGACTAAATAGAAATATAGTTGTACATGACTGATTAGAAATAAACTGTATGATACTAAATGCTTGTACAGTGCTATTGCTAAGTATTTTTGATTTGGGGGAAAAACCCAATTCTGTCATCAAGTCGATGCTGACTCATAGCTGGCCTATGGGACTGGGTAGAACTGCCCTGTGAGTGGCTGAGACTGTCACTCTTTGGTAGAAAGCTCTGTCTTCCTCCTGCGGAGCAGCTGGTGGCTTTGTACTGCTGACCTTGCGGTTAGCAGCCCATAGTGGCATAAGTAGCCACTATGCCACCAGCACTACTTAATGGAATACTAAAGTGCTTATTAATTGATTTCATTTTGTAAAACAAAGAACTTAGTTTGACTTTAATCAATTTTTTAAAAAGCAAACAACATCCACTGACATCAAGTTGATTCAGACTTGTAGCAACCTTTTAGGACAGTGTCAAATTGCTCCTTAGCGTTTGTGAGACCGTAAATCTTTACCATAGCAGGCAGCCTTCTCTTTCTTCCCCAGAACAGCTGGAAGGTTTGAACTGCCAACTTTCTAAAATAGGAAGATATTTCTGATGTTACAAAGATAAAGTAGGAAATAATTGGAAGAAATAATAGTTTACCATATTTACCAATATTTTCAAATTATATAATCATAGTATTTGGAAGTATTTATCATTTTTATAATAATAATCTAGAAACTTGGAAGAATTAATATTGTGGTAAAATAGTATCTCTACTTGAAGCCTTGAGAAGAGTAATAATTCATTATCAATACCCAAAACTTAAAAATGTACTTAAAAATGTGTGCTTACTTTTATTCTTTCTCATTTTCCTTTCTCCTTGCCAAGCAGATTGCCAAACTGAGGCAGCAGCTACAGCGCAGTAAGCAGAGCAGCCGTCACAGTAAGGAGAAAGATCATCAGTCACCTCTCCATGGCAATCACATAGCAATCAGTCACACTCAGGTAGGCTAGCTTCGTGTCCAGATTTGAAGAATTGCTTTTAGTTCCTCAGAGAGGAAGAATACATTAGCTTATGTTTCAAAATAATGTAATAATATAAATGCTACACTTTACTAACTGATGACCATTTCTTAAATTATTCTAAGAGATTTTTTTGTTTTGTTTTAAACGATATGTCTAACCATCTCATTTAATAACATAGATAAGTATATATTGATCTCAAGGATGACACTGACCTAGACTAAAATTTTAGCTCATTCACTTAGTGAACGAACTACAGATATTATCCCATTGAATAGTTCCTTAAGCCTTATCTCTGTTCCAATATAAATATTTTTTTTGCTAGATTGACATATTCTTTTTTTTTAAATCATTTTATTAGGTGCTCATACAGCTCCTATCACAATCCATACACACATCAATTGTGTAAAGCACATTTGTACATTCATTGCCCTCATCATTCTCAAAACATGTCCTCTCCACTTAAGCCCCTGACATTAGGTCCTCATTTTTCCACTCCCTCCCTATTCCCCCCCTCCCTCATGAGCCCTTGATAATTTATAAATTGTTATTTTGTCATATCTTGCCCTGTCCGAGGTCTCCCTTCACCCACTTTTCTGTTGTCCGTCCCCCAGGGAGGAGGTCACATATAGCTCCTTATAATCGGTTCCCTCTTTCTAGCCCACTCTCCCTCTACCCTCCCTGTTTCGCCACTCACACCACTGGCCCTGAAGGGATCATCTGCCCTGGATTCCCTATGCTTCCAGTTCCCATCTGTACCAGTGTACATCCTCTGGTCTAGCCAGACTTTCATGGTAGAATTCGGATCATGATAGTGGGAGTGGGGAGGAAACATTTAGGAACTAGAGGAAAGTTGTATTTTTCATCATTGATACATCGCACCCTGGCTGGCTCATCTCCTCCCGAGACCCACAGGTTGAGAACTGCTGCAAGAAAGAGCAAACACATAACGGTTAAAACTGTAATCTGAAAACTGGTAAGCATTAGTAAGAGACAAAGATATGAACATTACATATAACAGAAGCATAGTATGGGAAATATGACTAATATATTAACCAGTGGTTAGCAGTCTACCTGATTACGAATCATTAGCTTCAGTCATTTAAAACAGGATATAATCACACATTTTCAAAACCAAGTTGATGGCATTGGGTTTTGTTTGGTTGCTTGGTTTGGAATTTTTATCTTCCTACATCAGAATCTATCTGTGTATGTGTCTGAATTTATATTGTATTTGACATATCAAAAATAACTGTTGGCTAAGTTTATATTTGAAGACTTACCATGCTCTTTAGTTCTTGATTTCTCTGACCACAGATAGACACCATCTTGTCTTCTGTCTTCTAGGCTACTGGGTCAAGATCAGTCCCTATGCCACTGTCAAATGTATCAGTGCCAAAATCATCTGTTTCACGTGTGCCCTGCAATGTAGAAGGAATAAGTCCTGAATTAGAAAAGGTATTCATTAAAGAAAATAATGGGAAGGAGGAAGTATCTAAGGTAAGGTTACAAGGACTTTTGAAAACATTTTTTCCCCTTTAATATTGTGGGCTGTCTGAAAAATACTTTTTTTTGGTAATAGCTTTATTGAGGTATAAGGCACAGTAGGTTAAGCACTCAGCAATTTGAACACACTAGTTGTTCTGAGGGAGAAGGATGCCGCAGTCTGTTTTCCTAAAGATCACAGCCTTGGAAGCTGTGAAGCTCTTCTCCTCTGCCTCAAAGGGTTGCTGTGTGTTGGAATAAACCTGATGACTGTGAGTTTTGTTGGTTAATTGAAATACAATTAAAATGCTTACAATTCACCTGTCTAAAGTGTAAACTCAATAGTTTTTAGTATATTCTTAGAATCGTGCATTCATCATCACAGGAGATTATAGAACACGTTCATCATTCCAAAAAGAAAACTCAAATACCTATTAGTAGTCACACCAACCCCTATTCCTACACAACCACATCTACTGTCTGTCTGTATTGATTTCCTGATTCTGGATATTTTGTATAAATGAAATCACATATTATGTGGCCTTTTGTGACTGACTTCTTTCACTTAGCACAATGTTTTTAAGATTACTCTGAGGGAACTTCAAAAAGTTTGTGGAAAATAATACTAAAAGATCATGGAAATTTTCCATGTATGTTTTGAAGCTGTCTCATATATCAGTATTTATTTCCTTTCTATTGCTGAATCATACTCAGTGTATGGGTATGCAACATTTTATTTGTCCATTTATCAATTGATGGAATTTGGGTTGCTGCCACTCTGGCTGTTGTGCATAATGCTGCTGTGAACATGTATGTGTAAAATTGTGTAGACATATTTACGTTTCTCTTGGGTGCTTATCTAGGTGTGGAATCGGCTAGTCTTCTGGTAATTGTTGGAGGGACTGCTAGACTGTCTACCAAAGTGGCTGTCTTATTTTATATTCTCACCACTAGTGTATGAGGGTTTGCAGTGCCATATGGGTAATCTGTTGGGCTGCTAACTGCAAGGTCAGCAGTTCAAACCCAGTGTAGGTAAAATATGAGGCTTTCTGCTCCTGTAAAGATTTGCATCCTCAGAAACCCTCAAGGACAGTTCTACCCTGTCATGCAGTTTGCTATGAGTAGGAATCAGTGAGACATCTTCTTCAACATTTATAAATATTTGCCTTTATTCCAGCCATCTAATGTATGTCAAGTAATGTATCATGGTGTTAATTTATGTTTCCATGATGACTCCTGTTGATGGGCATCTTTTCATGTGCTTGTTGGCCATTTGTATATATGACTCTTCCTTGCAGAAATAGCTATTCTGATCCTGTGCCCACATTAAAAATGAGATTGTCTTTTTGTTAATAACTTGTAAAAGTTATATTTTCTTGATACAGATTATTTATCTGATAATAAATCTCTCTCTCATTCTGTCAATTATTTTTTGACCTTGGAAGTGTCCTTTGGAGTACAACATTTGTAGTTTTGGTGAAATCCTATTTGTTTTCTTAACGCTATTTATGTTTTGGTGTTATATCTCAGAAATCATTGCCTAATCCTTAATCACAGAGATTTACTTTCATGTTTTCTTCCAAAATATTTTATCGTTTATTATTTTACATTTAAATATTTGATCCATTTTAAATGAATTAAAAGTAATTTGTAAATTACTTAGGTCTCAAGAGAAAAAATCTGGACCCCATTCCATATATTTGGCCATATTTTAAAAGATGTACTTAACAAAAGAAACCACCATTGATAGTCTTTGGCTCAGTGGTTCCTCTGATAATTCTTTAGAACGAAAATATGATTTAACTTACATCAAATGTCTAGTTGCTTCGTTCAAATAATGCATACCATTTAAAACTGGTTTGAAGTTTGTTTCAAAATCAATCATATCAATTTTATACTTATAAAATAAATCATATAACTTCCTTTCAGCACTTGGTATTACTCAAGATTTCTAAACATTATTCATAGTTTCAAATGTATGTTTCCAAATACTTACTGTGTATACTGTTGTTTTTATTGGGTGCCTTCAAGTCAGTTCTGACCCATAGCAACCCTTTTCACAACAGAACAACACAAGGCCCAGTCTGCACCATCCTCACAATCGCTTCTATTCTTGAGCTCATTGATGCGGCCATTGTGCCAGTCCTTCCTCTTTTTGCTGCCCCTCTACTTTACTGTGTATGTTGTCCTTCTCCAGGGACTCACCTCCCCTGACAGCATGTCCAAAAGTGTGTAAGATGAAGCCTCACCATCCTTGCTTTGCAATGTATACTAGTATGTATTCCAATAGAGTTAATTAAGTCAACTGTACTAATGAATTAAATACCAAAATAGCAAGTCCTCTCTTCTTGATGGCTATTCAGATTTATTTTGATTTTTCCATCATAAGCAGTGTTCGAGAAAAACTGTATACTCTTGAAAATAGATTTTTGGCAGTGAAATTGCTGAGTCAGAGCCTTTGTACATTTTAAATTTCATTGTAGGTGGCCAAAAGTATCCTCCCAAAGAGTTATGCCATTTTACTCTCCCTAGACATTTTGTGATAAAATTTTAATTTTCATCTATATTGTACTAGAAGAGAATGTTTTGGAAATTTCATCTTCTCTTAGCTATTTACTCTTAAATTATTTCTCTTATACATCAAGTAGAATTTAAGGACAGTTATGAGGAAGTGAAATTGGTCTAATTTTTGAAGGATGAGATAATCACATATGTTCTGATTTCTAGAAAAATCAAAGCAAAACTATACTAAAATATAAAGATTGCTAATAGTTTAACTCTTAAAAACAAACAAAAAATACCGTCATCAAGTTGATTCCAACTCATAGCATTTCTACATAGGGTTTCTGAGACAGTTCTTACAGGAGCAGATAGCAGCTTTACTTTTTAAAGAAGGCATATTCTAGTTTTAGCGTTATTTAATGACATTATATTTATAATGAGATATACTCATTATATCACCATTAGTTAATCCTCCAGTAGCTAAAAAGAGGAAAATTGCCCTGTTAGCATGTCCATGTTGGTAATAGTAGATAGCATCTTTCCTAGGCTTTATATTTCCCATTTGTGTTTTATGGAAACATAGAGATTTTTAAAGCCTGTTTTGCTTTTCGAATTCTCTGCTCATCAATGAAAACTAAAGCTGGTGAAAGGAATTTGATTATATTGCAGGATGCTTCAAGAAACATTGCTAGAAAATCACGGAAATGCTTATTAAACAAATATCAAAATGGGAAACCCTTTATAAAAGAAATAAATCATTTTATTGGGGGCTCTTACAGCTTTTATAAAAATACATACATCAATTGTATCGAACACATTTGTACATAATGTTGCTATCATTTTCAAAACATTTTCTTTCTGCTTGAGATCAGCTCCTCTTTTTCCCCTCTCTCACCCACCCTCACACCCTCGTGGAGCCTTGATAAATTATTATTGTTTTCGTATTTTACACTGTCTGCCATCTTCCTTCACCCACATTTCTGTTCTTCGCCCACCTGGGAGGGGGGGTGCATGTTAGACATTGATCATTGTAGTTGGTTCCCCGATTCTCTCCTCTCCCCCCACGTTCCCTCTACCCTTAGGGTATCACTATTCCCATTACTGTTCCCAGGGTCTGTCTGCCCAGGATTGCATGTGTTGAGGGCGCTTATCTGTACCAGTGTACACGTTGCGTTTAGCTGGATTTGTGAGGTAGAACTGGGGTCATGATAGGGGGGAGTGGGGAGCAGCGAGGAAGCATTAAAGGACCAGTGGACTGTTGTGTGTTCTGTTTGTGCTCGTGCTCCACCCTGGCTGACTCGTTCTTTCTTTGTGATCCTTCTGTGAGAGAATGTCCATTTGTCTACAGCTGAGCTTTGGGTCTGCATTCTGACCCCATCATTTGAATCAATAGATTTGGTTTGTTTTGGGTCTTCTGATACAGGATCCCGTGGATACCTCGTGATAACCCAGGCTGGTTTTTCTTTGACATGATCTCCATATAGGTTTATATACAGTCCTGAGAGTGGTGTTTCCATTTCTGTTTAGCCTTCCGTGCTCATCAGTGTGCACCATGTAAAAATGGCACGTTTGGCCTCCTTCAGGGATGCAAATCAGACTATTTTAAATATTTATTGAGTTTTAGGAACAAATGTAAATCTGAAAGGGGCATGATCAAGCCTATAGAAAAGAGAGTAAGATTTCCCAACAAAATTCTCATAGGACAGCCCTGCTACCCTTGACATTGTCGTGATGGAGGTTAAAAAGTCACCAGAACCTTAGCTGTCCTCTCTGCCTTAAATTGAATCGACCTTGCAGATCCCTTGGAAGTTACTGCTTTGATTGGTCCTCTTTTTGAAGGTAGACTAATGAGACTAAGACAAGTGTGTTCCTGAGAGAACTTGTCTGTAGTCATCCACTGACAGCATAAACATGTTTAAACATTTTCTTTGGCTGAAAAAAAGTGTGCATATATGAAATGGAATCCTGATAGCAATACTGTTTTACTTAAGAAATAGAAATATATCAGGATTAATTTTATCAAATGGGATATGAATGAAAGACTCAAATTCTTAAATTCTTAGTTAGCTACAAATTGATAGAATATTCCTTATTAATTAGTAAGATTGACTATAAAAATAATATTTTCTGAGTTTGACCAAATAAATTCATATTTTTCCCTAAGTTGGAAAAATTTCTCTTCTTAAAATTTGTCTACAAAATGAGTTGATATTTATAGAATCAAATATTTTCTTTGTATCAGAGTAATATTTGTCAGGTTGTGACATTGGTTTTATTTTGGATTAGTAATACTGCATATATAAATGAAAATTCTGACTTTGTGGTTAGATTTGCAACTCTAACTTGTTTGCTTCCTTATGGAGAAACTAGTACATTTTGAATTTTGCTTTCATTTTATTTTTGACAATGTTTCTGAGAATTTTGGATGATAAAACTTAAGAGTAAGAGCAAAGATATACCTAATAGTGAGAGTAACTTTCGTATAGTCTAAGAGATGATAGATAGTTCCTTTCTCTAGCATTGCAATCTTGACTATAAAGCAGCAACATTATTTTAATTCCTTTAAGAAAGAATTTAATGTATGAGCTTTTATTTTCTGCCTGCACTCTGTCATACCAATAAGGAAACTATGGAGTAGTACATGAGAAGAAACCCCACTGCAACGGGAGCTCTCTGCTACGTAATTCGCCGTTGTCACCAGGAGCTCTGAAGAACAGGTCCCTTATGTGACACAGACACACTGGCCTCACGTTTGCTAGGCCTGCAGAGTTAAATTGTATGCGTCTGTGGGTATAGTTTCTTTTATGCTCTTTGCCACTCAGAACAATGCTTGCAACTAAGCAAAATTAAGTAGTAGTCCTAAATCGGATACCAGATGAATAGCATTGCTCTGGGTTATGTTTCATTATCCTCCATTGAATTCTGACACAGTAAAACTCTTTAATAGAAATTTTACATAGTTTGCATTGGAAATAAAAAAGATTCTTAACATGAAAGAATTAAAATGGGAAGGCTGATCCAATAGAACAGTCTCTTCTTGTGAGTGTGATTTGTCATTTTTCTTACTAGTGGGTCAGAATGATTTCCTGAGAAATTTGGTTATTAATTCATCAACTGTGTATTGAAAATCTGCCACATGCCAAGTGCTAGGCATTGGGGTTACCAAATGAAACTCAAACCACTCTCATTGAATGAATTCTGACTCAGAGCAACCCTACAGGATAGGGTAGAACTGCCCTGTGAGTTTCTGAGATTGTAATTGTTCATGAGAGTAGAAAGTCCTGCTTTTCTCCACAGAGAGGCTGGTGGTTTCCAACTGCCAACCTTGAGGTTTTTGCAGCCCAACGTGTAACCACTGTGCTACCAGGGATATGTGTTAAACAAAAGAAGCCCCTATCCTCAGTGAGAATTAGGAGATGTGTTAATATACAAATGCTGTGAAAGTTTTGAGGCAAACAATCTAGCTTGCAGATTTTTAAATACTACCTTCCTTTTGGGATTTGAAAGGATTCAGTAAAGGTAAGGAGCAAAAATTCAGTTCCAAAAGAAGCTTGGCGTCTTTATCTCTTCTCCGACGAAGCAATGATGGTGGATTATGAAATTGGGAAATGCCTTGTGCTGCTACTCTGTCATTTGCATGTTTAATGGTGTTCTTTTGCAGCCTTTGGACATTCCAGATGGTCGAAGAGCTCCACTGCCTGCTCACTATCGGAGCAGCAGCACTCGCAGCATTGACACTCAGACTCCCTCCGTCCAGGAGCGCAGCAGTAGCTGCAGCAGTCACTCGCCCTGTGTCTCCCCCTTCTGTCCCCCGGAATCCCAGGATGGCAGCCCTTGTTCAACAGAAGATTTACTCTATGACCGTGATAAAGGTGAGAGCAGAATTATCCACTTATTTAGAGGGTGTCTTGCCGGGTCTTGCTCATTCTACCTATTTTGTCTCAGCCCATTACATCATTTTTTTTAAATCCTTTTGTTGAATGGTGGAATTGTAAACGATTGGTTAATGTAGGTTTGTTTCTTCATTGATTTCACATACCCTCTTCTTTGTGACTCTCACAAACATCTTCCATAAATGTGTCAGAGAAACACAGCGCATAGTTCTAGCAGTCAGTGGAAGCTATAAAATGGAGTGTGTACAGCTTCATATCTCACAACACCTGTCCTTTCCTTGATTCTGTCCAGAGAATTATAGTGGAGTTTATAATTTTCATACCTAAAGCTAAGATTTTGTAATCAGATTGATTTTGGAGGAAATAATTTCTAAAACTTCTGTTAAAAGAGTGAGTGCATTCTTAACCAAATGGATAAAGTTTAATGAATCTTATAAGCGACCAAGGCTTATCTTATGGTTTGTTATGAATTATTAAGTGATACCAATATGAGACAAGACCTTCCAGGATTTCTTACTGCTTGTCAGACCTACCTGTATCATTCAAGTTTTCCTGTCCTTTATGTGAGACTTGCTAACACCATTCACTGGTCTTTGAGTTTTGGATCCTTCATACTTAGCTGCAGAGGGTAACAACAGCCAGTTATCCAGCTTCCACTTTTTTCACCGTGTTCAAGAAGCTTGTACTTATTTTTTAACATGTTTACTGATTTTCATCATATTGATAGATGATAGGTGACAAAAATTTCAAAACCTAGAAGTTTATAAAATCTTGCAGGATTTTTAAGGTTCTTGTCCTGACCGGCACCCTCGTGAATTTGTCGTAGGTCAGACAAAAGTGGTCAGACAGAGGTCTGTCTGGATAGGACAGGCTGGATGAACAATCT